ACTGGTTGGAGAGAGGTCCGGCTTCTCGCAGCAGCGCGTGTAGAGGCTGACACGCACGATACGGTCGTTCTTCGTGATGAAGTGGATGGTTGCCGGCGGCGTCAAGTAATCCCTAAAGATATCCTGGCGCGGATGCCAGCTGCAGAAGATCTCATCCATCTCCTCCGGCGTGAACGGCAGCTCCTTATCCTCCCGCCGCTGATCATTATCGTCCTCGCTGGCCTCATCCTCCTCGCTGGCCTCATCCTCCTTCTTCACCTCGGCCTCCTTCTTCACTTCCTTGCTGCTTCTCGCCTTCTTCCTCTCCTTCTTCTCTTCTTTGCTGCTCCTCGCCTTCTTCTTCTTCTCTTTCTTCTCTTCCTTCTCTTCCTTCTCGCCGCGGCCTTCTGGTGTACTCCGCGACCTTGAACGCGATGAGGCCCCCGCCTCGGGCGGGGGAGGGGCGCGATGCTCACGGAGAACAGCTCCCCGATCGCGGTGGCGGTCGTCACGACGATCTCGATGATGATCTTCACGATGCTTGGTGTCACGATTCCCGCCTTCACCGCGCCGATCGTCGCGGTGCTTGGTATCGCGATTTCCGCCCATCACGATCTTGAACATAGTTGCCGTGATCTCATCGAGATCCACCTCAGCCGCCGTACAAGGCTTCGACGTGGTCAGCTGCAGCCGCATGAGCCGACCCTGGACGAAGTCGAGAGCCTCGAAGCGGCCTTGCTTGAAGAAGATGGGCTTCTTGTTTGCCACGCGCTCCACGATGTGATGGACCGTGGCAAGGTCAGGAAACTCCAACTCCACGCTGTGCCCCTCTGGGTGGGTGTTGGCCAGGATGCGATGGCAACGCGCGCATGCGTCCTCGTCCTCCTGATCCCCCCCGCGCCTGGCAAGGGCGCGCGCACGTTCATCACTGCCCTGTCCGGGCCCGGGGTCATCGTCGGCGTCCCGGCGTAGACTTGGCGCAGGCATACTCTTGGGTCGAGGATTCATGACGATCCGCCCTGGAGCATCGGCTCTGACCTCCACCGGATGCCTCTGGGCAGGCACCGACTGGGGGGCGCGGCGCCATGGGGCGCGGCCACGACGCTCCTCGGCACTGCCTGCCATGCCAACCCAGTGGATGACCGGCCCATGCGCCTGCCTTGGAACCGGCGGCTTCGCAGAGCTCCGCTGGTTGGGCGACGCTAGCTGGCCACTCTTAGGCCCGGTCTTGTTGTGCGGCCCACGCTCGCCACTCTTCGCCTTGGGGCACTCCGGGTCGCCACGCTGGCCGGGCTGATCACAGTCAGCACACCGGCTGTTAGCCTTGCGCTGGTCCGTCGGCTCGCGACCAGCCTGGAAGGAGCCGCTGGCGTTGATCTTCTTGGGGTCCCGCTGCCGAGGGGCAACGAACCCACGCTTCTGACGCTGCACTGCCGTCTTCTGCTTGGCCCTCCAGCCGGCCAAGAACGCCCCCTGAAGATCCTCCGGTGCCTCGTACTCCTCGTCGTCAGGCCCATCGTTGTCCGACGCCAGCTCCTCGTCGACCTCAGCGCCGTCCTCGAAGAGGGTGCCCTCGGCCCCTCCGGGGTCTCCGTCGTCCTGGTCGTCTGCTTCCTCTTCGTCGTGCTGCGCCTCCTCCAGGTCGCCGTCGTGTTCATCGTAGTCTTCACCGTTCTCCACCTCGTGCGCATGCTGGCCAGAGCGTCCTCGAAGCACGCACGGCCTGCGAGCCAAGGGAGGGTGCGGGTAGCGACCGCCTGACCTCCCAGAGGAGCGCCCGTGCTCACGCTGCGCCGCCACAAACGGCGAGCGGCGAGGGAGCACCGAGCGCTTCTCGGTGTCGTGCACCTTCGAGTAGGCTGCCTTCAGCACGACCTCCATCCGCTTCGAGTCGTAGATGCCGCCACAATTGAAGAGCACCTGCGCTCGCTCTCTTTGCGACAGCCCAGCACCACGGAGCATCTTGCTCGCCAGCGCGCGATCACTGATCGCTGAAGTGGGATCCTCGAGCTGCAACTCCATGCGCTTCTTGCGCAAGTACGTTGTCCAGTCCATGATGGGCTGACCTGCCCGACGGTGAGCACGCTCCCACTCCTGATGCACCTGATCCAGGCGCTCGTGGTCCATCTTCTCGAAGGCGTCATCGTAGATAGCGAAGATGGTCTCGAGCGTGTCCTCGCGCCGGAGGTCCGACGCGTCCAGTACCTCGATGAGCTCCTTGGCCCGACCTGTCACCTGACTGTAGATGATCAGGCCCAGCTCCACGTCGGAGAGCTGGTTGAGGTTGCGGATGACCTCCACAGCCTTGCGCCACTCTCGGTACTTCTTGGTGCTAGTGCCGACGGCACCGTCGAAGTCCGGGAGCCTCACCTGTGACAGCAGTAGGCGTGCACGCCTGGGACCGCTGTCGCCACCACGATCCCGCTGCATGGCCAGGATCTCCCTCTGGGTCTCGGCCATCACGCGCAGGACCGCGTGCAGGTCCGGAGAACCTGCGCCGGCGGAGGACCCCGCCTCCGCG